AGAGTAAAAACATAAAGAATTATTATTATTATTATTTCCATGAAATGAAGGACGCATTTGACCGATGTATCAGTATTCCCTCCGCCGGCCACGCTGAACTGGTCCTCCAATCCCCCGGACGCTCTCAGTTATACATAAAAGGAGCCATCAATCTCCATTTCAATCGCACACAAGAAACGATGAGCGCCGACGGAGCAGGGGAGGCCGAGCAAACCGCCGCAACAAAACCGGCGAAGAAGAAAAGGAGCAGCTTTCTTCGGTGCGCGGCGGCACCGCTCCGAGCCCTACGCCGCGCGCGAGACATGTACGTCAGAAGCCTCGGCGGCTGCGCCGGAGCGGGAGGCGGAGGCGGCCGCGGAGCCCCCATGACCGGAGTCACCGCAGGGATGGTCGCAATGATGCCGCGCGCTCGCAGCGTCAACGCGTTCGGGAATTCGTCGAACGGGTTTGGAGGAGGAGGTGAAGAAGATTTCAAGGAGCTCGTGCGGGCGAATTCGAAGCAGGACGAAGCGCGAGGAACAGGGCAGAAAGAGGTGATCAGGAGGAGCCAGAGTGTGGCGCCGGCGATCGGGAGGATTGATGAGGAAGCTCCGTGCGGCGAGGAATTTGATGGGGATGAGAATAGTAACGGTAGTTTGAAGCCGGGGGTTTTGAGAAGCAGGAGCTGCGCGGTGGCGCCGGCGGGAAGAAGGATTAATGGGGTCGGAGTTACGGCGGCTTGATTTTGTTCGGTGGAATTGCCAAGAGATTTTGGTTTGGGGGTCTTTGAGTTACGGCGGCTTGATTTTGTTCGGTGGAATTGCGATGAGATTTTGGCTTGAAGGCTTGTTTTCGCAAGCAGGGGTTCTACAGGGTTTAAATTGTAATTATGTGAATTAAGCACAAAAGCACAAATCTTTTTATTATCGTTAACAACACATGATATAAATTTCTTTTAAATTCTATATCAAAGGCCCACTTTCTGTCTCTCTCTGACACCAGAGAATATGATATCATAGTTTGAGTTCGGAGTCCAATGATAAGACGTCATATATCAAGTGAGTCACACCATAATACACTGATATTGATCGGCGTTAAAAATGGTGGAGCTTACATGACACGTGACGTCCCACCATTAGACTCGAAATACATCAGAAGTCCTGATGTAATATTTTTTCCTCAGACACAAAAGTTTGAATGGGAATGTTTTGATCCCATAATTTACAAAAGTTTAAAAAGAATCATGAACTCATATTTTCATTAGAAATTTCACCCTGAATGTTTGATTTTGTAAATAATAATATTTTACAGGATATGTATGCAATCGTCCGATTTTAGGGGCATCCAATAGAAGAGTACAACATAATTAGTCAATTGATTTTTCTTATGTTACATTTATTTCAAAATGTACAGGCTGTGGACAGAATTATGAAGCAAGATTTCTAATTAAATGTGTTCCAACTGCTATTAACATTGAAGCTCATTTGAATTAGAAATTTTAAACAGAATATCTTGACCACCTAATCTTAAAATTTATATTTCAACTACCCAACTTTTATATTGATTTAAAATAGGAGCGATCAATCCATTATATTGAAATTTTTGGATGCCTTTGAATGGTTAAAATATAAAATTTTAAATTAAGTCGGAAAATCTACTGTAGGAAAAACGTTAAAACCGAAAGACTACATCTTTAGCGCGAAAAAAGTTCATTTTTCGACGATGTAACAAATGTTTCTGATCTGAGTTATTTACGTTGACTTAATAACAATATATAATAATATATGTTGTCTGTCACGGACTAAGTTTCCCCAAGTCACCCGCGCGGCTTTAACGCTCTCATTTAGCACTAAATCAGTCTATTCCTCACAACTCTTGGACATGTGAGCACAAAAACACTCTAAGAAAAAAATAGTAGGAAGAAGAATTGGAGAAAAAAAAAAAAAACACCGCACTGAGAAAGAACAATTACAACACTTGAAAGCTTGAATGTTTTCTTAGATGATTACAAATGAGGGGTGAGACTCCTATTTATAGTCTTCTCTAAGTCCAAGGGAACTTTCTAGATTACATTAGAATAAAGTAATTCCTTAATAGTTCTACATTACTCTTTACATATACCTTCATCTAGAACATTCTAGAATATTCTATAATTCTCTTAAAGCTTGTTTTTTCAGCATATTTCTGGAATTAAGCGGAACCTTCTAGAATTCCTTGAAATATTCTTTCTTTCTAAATTTTTCTAGAATGTCGTGAAATCTTCTAGAGTCCCTCAGATTACTCTCAACATTAACCTTTTCTAGAATCTTCATTTCTCATATTTACCTTATCAATTATTCTTGAAGATGGCGGACCTTGACACTTTCTTCCACTTAAACTTGTAATGCCTTCCTTGCGGCCGCGCCGGCGCGGGAGGCGGAGGCGGCCGCGGAGCCCCCATGACCGGAGTCACCGCAGGGATGGTCGCAATGATGCCGCGCGCTCGCAGCGTCAACGCGTTCGGGAATTCATCGAACGGATTTGGAGGAGGAGGTGAAGAAGATTTCAAGGAGCTCGTGCGGGCGAATTCGAAGCAGGACGAAGCGCGAGGAACAGGGCAGAAAGAGGTGATCAGGAGGAGCCAGAGCGTGGCGCCGGCGATCGGGAGGATTGATGAGGAAGCTCCGTGCGGCGAGGAATTTGATGGGGATGAGAATAGTAACGGTAGTTTGAAGCCGGGGGTTTTGAGAAGCAGGAGCTGCGCGGTGGCGCCGGCGGGAAGAAGGATTAATGGGGTCGGAGTTACGGCGGCTTGATTTTGTTCGGTGGAATTGCCAAGAGATTTTGGTTTGGGGGTCTTTTTTTCGCAAGCAGGGTTTCTACAGGGTTTAAATTGTAATTATGTGAATTAAGCACGAAAGCACAAATCTTTTTTATTATCGTTAACAACACATGATATAAATTTCTTTTAAATTCTATATCAAAGGCCCACTTTCTGTCTCTCTCTGACACCAGAGAATATGATATCATAGTTTGAGTTCGGAGTCCAATGATAAGACGTCATATGTCAAGTGAGTCACACCATAATACACTGATATTGATCGGCGTTAAAAATGGTGGAGCTTACATGACATGTGGCGTCCCACCATTAGACTCGAAATACATCAGAAGTCCTGATGTAATATTTTTTCCTCAGACACAAAAGTTTGAATGGGAATGTTTTGATCCCATAATTTACAAAAGTTTAAAAAGAATCATGAACTCATATTTTCATTAGAAATTTCACCCTGAATGTTAGATTTTGTAAATAATAATATTTTACAGGATATGTATGCAATCGTCCGATTTTAGGGGCATCCAATAGAAGAGTACAACATAATTAGTCAATTGATTTTTCTTATGTTACATTTATTTCAAAACGTACAGGCTGTGGACAGAATTATGAAGCAAGATTTCTAATTAAATGTGTTCCAACTGCTATTAACATTGAAGCTCATTTGAATTAGAAATTTTAAACAGAATATCTTGACCACCTAATCTTAAAATTTATATTTCAACTACCCAACTTTTATATTGATTTAAAATAGGAGCGATCAATCCATTATATTGAAATTTTTGGATGCCTTTGAATGGTTAAAATATAAAATTTTAAATTAAGTCGGAAAATCTACTGTAGGAAAAACGTTAAAACCGAAAGACTACATCTTTAGCGCGAAAAAAGTTCATTTTTCGACGATGTAACAAATGTTTCTGATCTGAGTTATTTACGTTGACTTAATAACAATATATAATAATATATGTTGTCTGTCACGGACTAAGTTTCCCCAAGTCACCCGCGCGGCTTTAACGCTCTCATTTAGCACTAAATCAGTCTATTCCTCACAACTCTTGGACATGTGAGCACAAAAACACTCTAAGAAAAAAATAGTAGGAAGAAGAATTGGAGAAAAAAAAAAAAAACACCGCACTGAGAAAGAACAATTACAACACTTGAAAGCTTGAATGTTTTCTTAGATGATTACAAATGAGGGGTGAGACTCCTATTTATAGTCTTCTCTAAGTCCAAGGGAACTTTCTAGATTACATTAGAATAAAGTAATTCCTTAATAGTTCTACATTACTCTTTACATATACCTTCATCTAGAACATTCTAGAATATTCTATAATTCTCTTAAAGCTTGTTTTTTCAGCATATTTCTGGAATTAAGCGGAACCTTCTAGAATTCCTTGAAATATTCTTTCTTTCTAAATTTTTCTAGAATGTCGTGAAATCTTCTAGAGTCCCTCAGATTACTCTCAACATTAACCTTTTCTAGAATCTTCATTTCTCATATTTACCTTATCAATTATTCTTGAAGATGGCGGACCTTGACACTTTCTTCCACTTAAACTTGTAATGCCTTCCTTGCGGCTTCTTTTTGGCATTGTTAATTGCTTGTCTTCCTATCGTGACACTCGGACCAACTCCCTTTGCATGTTCCCAGATTTGACAGACTTGGGTGTTTCTTTCTTCATTTTTAGTGGTAGTCCTTTATGTACTACCAACTCTTCCTTGGTATGACTTTTTGAATATTTTCTTCTTCATTTGAGTCATGAAGAATAGCCAAACAGTCCTCCTTACCCTGTGGATTTGTCTCCCCAAATTGGATTGCTAATAGCAAATTGACTTTCTGCTTGTTAGTTCTTATTATTGGTACTAAACAAGTTTGGTTTTCCTCCACGATGCACATGCTATTCGCAAAAGGCATTGGAAAGCCTCTTGCTTGATTTAAGAAGTTCATCCCCAAAACAATTTTAAAACCATCTATTGGAATAACAGAGAAGTCTAACATACCTGAGTCCCTGACCACATTCCAATGTTGGTCTTTACTCCTCTGACTATTTTGTGGATTGGTCGTGTTACTGAATTGACGATTTTGATGGAGCCTCCTCCTTCAGTCATCAGCAAACCCAACCTCTTTGCTTCTTCCACGAAGATGAAGTTGTGAGAAGCGTTCGTGTCCGCCATTGCCTTAATGTTCTTCTCGTTTATGACCATCTCTACAAATAGCAACCTCTTCGTTTGGGATTTTGTTAGGGCTTGCACCCATTCAACAATTGTATAGATCCAACTTGTGCCGTCATATCACCACCTTCTTCCTCTTAATGACTTGTAAGGAGAGAGTTCAAACCCTTCTTTTGAGGACAATCACTTACCCAGTGAGATCCATCACAAAGGAAACATTTGTCATGCAGTTTGGCTTTATTGTTATTGAGCTTACCTTTGTCTCTGGTCTTAAATGGGGTTGACTCATGACGACTCTCTTCCTTGTGTTGATCATTTTCTTCCCCCTCTTTGACATGGATGCCATTCCTATCTTTTGACTTTGCGGACTCCTTTGTCTAGTCGACCAAGCTTTCTACAACGACGATGGTGGTAGCGAGATCTTGTACTTCACGCCTTCTATGCTCGGTTTTCACCTACAGTTGGAGTCCATCTATGAAGTTGAATAAAGCTTCATTGTTTGACATGTCGAGAATTTCAAGAATTAGGCTAGTAAACTCCGTAAAATATTCTTGAATCGATCCCTCTTGCCTGAGCCTTCGCAATCGAGCTCTAGCCTCATCCTTCACATTTTTTGGGTAGAACTGCCTTTTTAGCTCTCTCTTGAAGTCATCAAAAGTACATATGGTGCACATACTTTTCTCAATATAGCCTCACCTTCTTCTCAGCCTTAGCATAGCAATGTCCGAGAGATAAAAATCTGGAAATTGAATTCTTGCCTCTTCGTCCGTGATCCCCATCATTCCGAAATATAGCTCAAGTCCCCACAAGAAGTTGTCTGTTTATTTTGCATTGCGGGCTCCTCCAAAACTCTTTGGTTTTGAAACTTCAATCCTCTTGGCATCAAAAGGATGATGACTGGTGGATGTCGTTAGTGTCCTTTTGCACAACGAAATATCTCCATGCATTTTTTCAAAGCTAGCACGTACCCAGTTGATATATTCTTCGTATGCTCTTCGCACACCATAGAGATCCCCCATCAAATTCTCCTGCATCTTAGCCATCTGATCCCTTAAGGACTCCTCCAATTGGAGCATCGTACCTCTTATCGTTAAATGGATGGTGATGTCCTCCTCCCCGAGTCCATCCACCTTCTGGCCAAGCTCCTTTATCGACATCCATGCCATTCATCACATGCTCCAGCCGAGTAAGGCGTGAACCAAAGCCATGCAAGTTCTCCTTAAACCTCCCATGTGGTTCGAATACGGTTTGGTCTTGTTCCTCCCGATGACCTCACCCTTGTTGAGATAATTCCATGTTAGTAGCTTCAGGCTACATTACATGCTCTTTAACGCTCTCTGTCATACATTTGAAACTTGTCTCTGATATCAATTGTCACAGACAAGCTTTCCCCAAGTCACCCGTTCTCCTTTAGCACTAAATTAGCCTAATCCTCATAACGCTTTGATTTGTAAGCACAAATCACTCCAAGAAGAAGAGTAAGGAGAAGAATTTGAGAAACAAACACTTCAATAAGAAAGAATAATTACAACACTTTAAAGCTTGTAAGCCTTTATGCTTTCTTAAATGATTACAAATGAGGAGATAAACTCTTATTTATAATCCACTCCAAGACCATTGAAACTTTCTAGATTACATTAGCATATAATAATTTCTAGATAGTTCTACATTATTCTTTACATAAACATCCTTTTAAAACATTTCAAAATATTATAGAATTCTCTTGAAGCTTGCTTCTTTCAGCATATTTCTTGAATTATTTTGAACCTTTTAGAATTTCTTGGAATATTTTATTTCTTTATGAATTTTTCTAGAATGTCATGGAATCTTCTAGAGTCCATCGAATTGCTTTAAGCATTCTGGCCTTTTCTAGAATATTTTTTTCTCATGTTTACTTTGTCAATTATTCTAGAAGATGACAGAGTGTGACATATCGCTTATAAACAATAAATTTTTTTTCGAGGGTTTTACTCATTGTTGATGCCTTATATCGTCGGTTAAAAACAAATATTAACTGACAATCATATTACATCGACTATTCATGAACCTGCGATTTGGTACGGTGCTAACGACATGTTTTTTTTAATAAACGACAGTTTTATCAGTGGGCAATAATATAAATTATTGAAAGGTCTAGCTATGACTTATATTTGGATTATTTGCGATGAAATAATTAAAAAAAAAATTATCATTTATTAACAATAATATGTAAATTTTTATGGCTTATCAACTACAACATGTTGTCGGCTATTTGTCGTCAATTATCATCTCGTCGGCTATTTGTCGTCTGACAAGTTTTGAATCTTTCTACCAGTAGTCAGCACAGGAGCAGTGACCCCCAGCAAAATGATGGAACCTATTGAGATCCCGAAGGATTATCTTCCTCCCAAACACCATCGATACCAGTTTGGCCATCGCGTGACAATCACTGCAGATCCTCAGATTCTTCACCACACGAATTGTTGTTCCCGGCGGCGTCTTCATCAGCCCGAACGCAATCGCCAGCTTCTCGCTGTGATATCGAAGGCTCTCTTCCTTCTCCTCCTCCGTCAGATCCACATGACGCACCTTACCGGTATCCGGCACATAACCGACCGCTTTCAGTTCCTCCATAACCTCATCCACCATCCTCCGCACCTCGTTGGAGTCTGGATGCTTCCCGTCCCCCGCGAAGAACTCGTGCACCTTGCTGTCGACTTCAATGGAGCTGCATCCCGGCACCTTCGCCACCCCTCTCTCACTCATCATTTTCCTAATCTCGTTCACATCCTCCCACATTCGATTCAATGCGCACAGGTTTGATAAGATCACGTAGTCACCGCCATGCGAGTCATCCAGTTCAATGATTCTGTCGAACACCTTCTTCCCGAGCTCAACGTTCCCATGGCTTCCGCAGGCCGATAGCAGAGTCCTCCACAGAATCGGCGTCGGCTTGATCGGCAAACCATTGATGAAATCATAAGCCTCTTCCAGCCTCCCCGTCCGAGCCAGCAGATCAACGATGCAGCCGTAATGTTTGATACCGGGAACAATGCCGTAATCATTGCTCATGTCGCGAAAGTATCGAAGGCCTTGTTCCACCATGCCGGAGTGACTGCAAGAGTATAAAATTCCGATGAAAGTTATGCCGTCCGGACTAATTCCCATGCGGCGCATTTCGTCGAACAGCTTGAGTGCCTCGCTCCCCTGTCCGTGAATCGCGTGGGCGATGATCATGGCCGACCATGCCTGGGCATCTCGAAACTCCATCCCCTCGAAGACCGCGATGGCATCTTCCAAGCTCCCGCACTTCCCGTACATGTCGATGAGAGCTGTGTTAACCTTAACGCACGATGAGAAGCCGTTCTTCTCCGCATACTCATGGATCCATTTTCCAAGGTGGATAGCGCCGATCAATGCGCAGGCGGCGAGAACGCCGAGGACGGTGACGTAGGTAGGGCGGAGCTGTCTGGTCTGCATCTCTCTGAACAACGCCAAGGCCTCGCCTGGGCGACTGCTCTGCACGAAAGCCGTGATCATGGAGTTGAACGAGATGACGCACCGGTCCGTCCCCTTGTCGAAGATGGTTCGCGCGGCTTCGACGTCGCCGCATTGGGAGTACATGCTGATTAGGCTGGGGAGGACGAAGGCGTTGAGAGCGAAGCCGAGTTTGATGGCGGCGGCATGAGCCTGCCTCCCTTGAGGGAGTGCGTGGGTGGATGCGCAGGCTTTGAGCAGGGAGGGGAAGGAGTAGGAATCGGGGGGGATGGAAGCCATGAGCATCTCGCAGAACAGGACGATGGCCTGGTGCGGGTCGTGAGAACGTGAGTATCCGCGGCTAAGTGTGTTGAAGATGACAGCATCCCGATGGGGAATTTGGTCGAACAGTTTGTGGGCGTAGTGCATGGAGGCGGGGGTAGGGTTGAGGGAGAGGGAGTCGATGAGGTTGAAGAGGAAGGAGTTGTTGAGGCGGCGGAGTTTGATGGCGGAGGCGTGGAGCTGTTGGATTTCTCGAAAGGAGGAGCGTTTTGGGAGGAAGGTGAGGGGAGGGGGGGAGAAGATTTCCTGTGATTTTGGAAAAATGGAAGGAGAAGAGAGGGAGGCCATTGTTGGGGCTGTGCTTATTCACACTTCCACTATATATATTTACATGTCTAACAAGTGAATTTCACTTTTTTATATCTTGTTGCAGGTTTTGTTGGAGGAAGGAAGTCTGAATCCATGCATCATCCAATGAGTTTTGGCAAGCTCAGATACATTAATTAATTGCCTTATAATGCTTTTGTTGCAAGGAGATTAGGGTGATTGTGCATTAAAACGACCATTACCTCCATATGCTAATAGCTACGTACATATACATGAAAGCAAAGAAATAAAAGAGAAAAAAAATTATCTCTAGTTAAAAGTTATCACAAAAAGGTTTTTTCAAAAAAAAAAAAAAAAAGGTTTATGGATGCTCTTCATTGATCTGCTCCTCATCAATGAAATCTCAATCAGTGTAATCCAATTTCTCTCGGTGTATTAGAAGTTTTATCCTTGAGGCCCGACTACTATATGTAAATTCTGAGACATGTGATGTGACATCAACTTCAGAAAATCAATGAAGTGTTATATAATCATAAAGAAAAAATAAATTTTACTAAATAGTGGATGAAATTTTAGGAGCTAAACTAATCTACAAAGTTCAAATAACATGGTCTAATCCAAAAGGTTGCAACTAAGTCAATTTCAATAGATGCAATGCATGGTAAAATTTTTTTTTTTTCAAATATATTACATATAACAGTCCATTAAAAACTAGTTATTTGGACATATACTTCCCATAATATACATATTAACAAATCAAATCCCCAAAAGATTAATAAATTCATAACATGAAGTTCTATCTTGTAAACTAAGTGAGCAAATCTTGTTCTCTTAAGTTATAATCTTCAAAAAAACCCTCTGTTAATTAGCTTCATTCCTACATCTATCCAATATCATCCTACATCTATCCAATATCAACTAAACACACCTCTATCTTTGATGACAAGCACAATTAATGGGTTATCAAAACTAAGATTGCTCTAAGGATTCTTACCCAATGAAAGGCAAAATTCTTGCAATTTGTAATCTTTGGTGGTTAGCAATATCATTAATGCTCCCAACATCAAATGAAGCTATGTTCTAGAACTTCTCACCTTAATGATAGGTTCGATTATTACAAAATACCAAAGAACCATAAATTGACCATCCAAAGATCAATTGAATATGCTCTTCAGACTCTTGCATGAATGACAGACAAGTTATTGGAAAATCATAACAAGAGAAATAATCATCCATATGAATCTCAGGAAACCAAAATGCAAAGCCCTTTAGGCTTAATCATCCAACAAGTCAAAGAAGTTCAATAACCAAGCAAAGAGAACTTCAAGCCTCACAAAGCTTCAACAAGCCAATCAACAAAAGTGACCGAACCATTAATTCACCAGGCTGGAGGGAATGTGGAGACAGTTTATATTCTCAAGTTTAGAAATTTTAAAATTTTTCATCACAGGTATGAGTTCTGCTGCATTCTCATTGAAGCAGATTCCAATTAGAAGGACCCTCTATAAGAAATTTGAAAGTTTTTTAATCTAGAAATCATCACAGGTATGAGTTCTGCTCAAAACAAAAGTGAATGAAACAGTACCTCATCTCGGTTGCGAACGGGAAGGAGGGGAAAGAGGGAACGACTTACTGCGTGCATGGATGTCAGCTCGGAAGATGGACGCCGGAGAAGAAAACGCGGGAAGGAGAGACGGCGCGGTAATTGCAGTCAAGCGGAGACCTCGGGCTCGGGTGATGGATTGAGATGGGAGGGGTCGGGCACGAGAAATCCGCTGGGATTTCAGACGATTTCCGTCTATTTTTCGGGGCAGTGAGGAGGGTAACCTGATGCCTGAGGTTGAGTACCTTTTGCACCAAATGAGGCATCGTTCAAGGAGATGAAGAGGTTTTTGCAGGACTTCGGATTTTACTTGAAGAAGAAGATGGCGCTCAGGCATTTCAATCTCCAGCAGAGAAATTTTTGGCCTTCATCGAACTGGATGCTGATGCCGGGGGATAAAAAATTTCTATGGCAAGCGTAAATAGAGCCCATCCAAGCAATTAGGGTATGGTTCTGTCCTACCTACTTTTCTTCAATTCTTCAGTTCTTGATCACAACAGCCACTCACAATAAACTAAGAAAAACCAAGCTTTATTCCCATTCCCTTTTCGAAGGATCATATCCTACAGCAATGGAAGGCTACATATGAATCGACGATGATTTTTCTTGCTACAAACAACAATATTCAAGCCACTCAAGAATCACAAGATCCATCCTTACTTAGTTAGTTTAGATATACTGAGAAGAACACAAGCACCAAAAGTTATATTTGTCAATCTATTCCAGAACTCTATCCACATAAGAACACACACCAATAATTATCAGTCAATCTATTTCACCACTCTATCCTCCATCTCAAAAAAAAAAAGAAAAAGAAAAAGGGACTCCATATTGAAATACTTGAATCTCTTATACATTATTTGAGCTTCATGTATAAAATCAATCAAAATCTAAATGATGATTTTGATTTTTTTAAACTTATTTTCACTACTTTATACGACCTCTTTTAGAATGAGATCCAATGTTCTTCACTTCTCCAGAACTGCTTGATGTTGAAGGGTTGCGCCCATAGTCACTAGTTCGTCCGCTGTACTCTTGGCTGATGTCATTACTCTCAAATACAGTTCTTCTGAGACGGCTTATATTGGATGCATAGGATCCTGAGTCATAGTCTGAACCTGAACTGAAAAGCACACTTTGTCCAGGTCTTACCCCCTCATTCAAGTCATCTAGGGATGAATCACCTTCCAGTGCTCGAGCAATCTGCATGTAGGAATGAATAATTTACCAGAGTTTTGCATAATAGAGTTTTTCTAGTTTTTCTATACACCAAATGGCATGAATTTTAGTTTTCCAATACCATAGACTGATGGAAAGTTCAAACAATACCTCATTCATTCAAAAAGAATAGCTAGCTGGCTGGTTTGAGGGTTGTGGCATCAACAATCCAATTCTATAAACTACATAATTGTAGAATTATAACTATTATGTGGCTTGATTAAAAAGGAAGATTAGTTCGTTAGGATAAGGCTAATGCCGCCGTTGGTGACAATCATGAGACTTGTTTAAAAAAATGTTATTATGTTACTGAGATTATAATTATCCCCATAAATTTAGAAGATGACTCTTTACCTGGCTCATCTTTGGGCGCCTTTTAGCGGAATGGCGAACACTAGCAGCGGCACATGCTACCATTCGTGCCATCTCCTTTAAGTTGAATTCTCCTTCCAGTCTTGGATCTACTAGTTCATCATTGTTCTCCTCAGCTACTGCCTGTGATAATAAAGGCCTTGCCTGTTCCATAGACATAGAAAAATGGTTATCTTCCTGCTTAGTTATATCTAGTTTGGCCTGCAAACAAAAGCTTACCCAATCAACCAAACTATCCTCCATTGCATTATCGTCTACCGGTTTCTTTCCAGTAATCAGCTCCAGAAGCATTACACCAAATGAGAAAACATCAGATTTCTCAGTAAGCTTGCCACTTGATGCATATTCAGGAGCCAAATATCTAAAAAATTACATAGAAGAATTTAGTTTCACCAGGAAACTAATTTTTTATAAGTTGCTGTGGGTTTTATAATTCTTTTTTTCTTTTGAAATTGTAAGGCAACGGTTAGCTACAGTAAAGAATAGAATTAAAGTTGTGGTTTAACAAGAAGAGTGAAAAATCTGCCCCAAACAATTCTCAAGAGAACTTGCCCAAATGTTCCCATGACTCGAGTAGAGACATGGGTGTAGTTGTCCGAAGTTAGCTTAGCCAGTCCAAAGTCTGCAACCTGATGCAATGTTAAACAACAAGTTAAACATCAAGCTATCTTTGTAGCCAAGCAGATAAACTTACCTTAGCTTCGAATTTATTATCTAGAAGAATGTTTGCAGCTTTTATGTCTCGATGGATAATGCGAGGGTGGCCTTCAATAAATTTAATGAAATGGGGAGAGAAATTAGGTAAATAGAGGTTTCAGAAAAAGTATTTTTTTGGAAAAAGGTTTGATTAGAATAATGAAGAATGCGTTACTAACAATCTTCATGCAAGTAGGCAAGGCCTTTAGCTGATCCTAAAGCTATCTTTAATCTGGTAGGCCAGTCCATAGTTGGTTGGTTCTTGCCTGCAATAGACATATTTCATTATTCTATAGGGAAAAAAAAAAAAAGACAAAAGAGAGATTTAAAAAATGTAAAATAAAATTAATTGAACAAAGGACAAAGATGGTAAACCCAGGAGGTTTACTTCTCAAAAGGTGCAAAAATTAAGGATATTTTGCAAAAAATGTTAAAATATGAGAGCAAATTTAGGCTCATGATTATTTTTTGTGGCAAGACACTATCATGAATGCTTCAAGTTCGATTTTATAAAGTTATAAAAGTTCTATCATATGATGTATATCGGAGCATTTGATTGTTACAATTATTAACAACTTAGTTGGGTGCGACAAATATGAGAGTATGAAAATGGATGTCACATCATAGATATCAATGGATACAATGTATATATTAGAAAAGTAGATAAAATTAGTGTTGGAGTACTGAAAAAGAAAAAGGGATAAACATAAGAGTAACTTAAATAAAAGCATTCGACTAAAAATTGGGATTCATAAAATTAATTGATCATAAAAGATTCGCATGAGCTGACAATCATGTTGTTGTTGATGTTGACGATCATGCATGACAATGACTAGAAAATGCACTCATTAGAATTGCCAAAAAATAATAATAATAATAGAAATAAAAGTAAAGTATAATATGATAAAATTGATCTGAAACAATTCAAATACTGCAACATATCCAACAAGACCCGCCCTTGAGTCGAGCAACCTTACCGTGCAGGTGGAACTCAAGAGTCTTGTTAGGAACGAACTCATACACGAGCAAACGGTGTGATCCCGCAATGCAGTAACCGACAAGTGAGACCAAATGGCGATGGTGAACTCTACTAATGATCTCAACCTCTGCTTGGAACTCTCTCTCCCCCTGCCCGCTACCCGTTTTCAACTGCTTCACCGCAACCTCCTTCCCGCTCGGTAACATTCCCTTATACACGTAGCCAAAACCGCCCTGTCCTAATATATTTTCATGGGAGAATCCGTTTGTCGCAGCTGCCAATTGTTCGTAGCTGAATGTGCTCTTGATGAAGCCGAGGGCGAGGGACGGTGAAGGCGGCGGCAAGGCTGATCCTTGCGGTCCCGAGTACTCCATGCTCATTTCACCGTTGATGGAAGGGGGAGGAGGTGCGTTCCATGGCATTCCTTGGGCTAGTGGCATGTTGATGGCACCATCTGGTCCTCCTTTTGGCCATTTTGGAGGGCCTGCGCCGCTGCTGTAGTAATCACTGCCTGCAATGTTTCACACATTTATGCGGGGGTATATATTGACACTCATACATAAGAAACATGACAATATATGAATGACAGTACCTCCATTGTATACAATTAAAATAAGAAAAGTTAGTCTAATAGTCCTGATTAGTGTCTGTTGTTTTTCATTTGAAGCAGGCAGGTTATCAAAATGGAAATGGTTGCATTAAATCTTAAAGCATTGGGGCATTTAGATACATACCTCACAATTCTTATGTGTTTACATATCTAACACCTAAACATTCATATTTACATGCATATTAACATCACATAAAAAAATACAATCACCACCATCTTCTTAAAAGTGAAATACACCTTTTCATAGGCATAAGTTTATGACACTAAGGTTTTATAAGTGTAAATATCAAACCTTGCGTGTTAGATATGTGAGTACATAAGAATTGTTTGGCATGCATCTAAATTTCCCTAAAACTTAAGGCTTAAATGATTAATATAAATAAAAGCATATAGAGAAGACCATTATCAAAGCAATGCTACAAATAGGTGTCTTTTTAATCAAATTTAAGCTCAATTCTTTTTAGGTAAATAATATTTTTGGAAATGTTAGTCTAATAAATGCATCATTTTTAGCTCCATATGTAATGATATTAATTTTAACTTTAAATGATTGGCCAGAAATACATAGAAACATATTGAGCAGAACAAATTTATCTCAACAAAAAAGTGTATGAGGACAAAAAAAAAATTTAAGATGCATACCTTTAACATCAGAATCTGAGTAATAGTGCATTGGATTATGATTTCTCTTTTTTTTCTTCTTGCCACAACAAACACAAGTTGCAATGCCAATAATCAAGATAAACAGTGCAATGCCGGCAACAACTCCGGCCACTATAGGGAGATTGATATCAGATTCACCCGATGATTTTCTTGAATCAACATTTTGATCATCAGATGGAGGTGGTGGATTGGACGGCGGGGATTTTGCCGGGCGTTTTAGCGGGGGAGGCGGAGCAAAATTGCCGGGCGAAGGTGGTGACTTGGATGATGAGGATGGCGGAGGTAAGAGAGGTGAGGGGGGAGAAGATCCTCCTGGTGATGATGGAGGTGGTGCCGAGGTGGTCGGAGAGGTAGGGGATGGTGGTGATGGAGCCGGTGGCGGTGGCGATGATGGGGATGATGGCGGTGGTGCTGAGGTGGCCGGAGGGGTTGGGGATGATGGTGTTGGATTAGATGGCGTGTTATTTGAATCTGAGGAGTTCTGTAATGGTGGAGCAGTCATAGGGGAAGAGGCCATTTCTGAAAATTACTGATGTGGTAGATGCATCTACAATTTTACCTGAAACTGCTCTAATGGGCAATTTTTGCTGTTATGGTATCTGCAAACATAAATACAGAACAATCAGAACCAATAAAAGAGAGAGAGAGAAAGAGAGAGAGAGAGAGAGAGAATTACACAAATGAGACAAGAGAAAGGATGTTTATCAAATGTTTTTATACTTTTGAAAACATATAAATTTTGTTATGAAAAGATCCATATGTATAGTTAGATGCAAGAAAGGTTAATCCAAACACAAATCTCTTACAATTCTTCCTACAAATTTATAAGTGGAAGATTCACATAAATGCCGCATAATTCTAAGAGTTTTACAAATCAACACCTAAACTTTGTTATTTACATTAATACAAGTCCATCTATGCATCAAAAGTTTTTTTTTTTTTATGTGAAGAGAGAATATTACATACAAAATCCAAATATATAGACTATATGGACAACATTGTTGTATAACATGAGTACAAAAACATACAACATTATTATATGCAGAATTTAGATGCATCAAGACTCCACACGTAATAATTCTCGACTTTGTGACACCTATTTTCACACAGACATGAACATCAATGCAGTAGAGGTCCTCAAAAAGGCTTTTTGGAAATTTTTCATATAAGCATTTCTCACATAGGGGGAGAGAGAGAGATAGGGATACCTTTCTGCGGTTTCTTGTGTATGTTCTTTAGGTAGAGAGAGAGAGAGAGAGAGAGATAATGAAGAAAGCCGAGGATGAAGAAGCAGTAAACACAGGCTGTGGCCCCACCCACCGAGCACCACCGCACCGCCTAGCTCGGTCTCTCCAGCTTCCAACTATTTTTGTATTGAAGCCATATGGATTCTAATTCACGAAGGAGGTTTGTGAGGAGGCCGAAGGAGGAAGAGAATGAAAAAATGAAAGAAATTGGCTGACTGTGGTTGTGGATGTGCGAACGGCCGTTTATTTCGGGCGGGCTCTTCCGCGCGCGCTTTCAACGGCCTATCCTTGGACTGTTGTTTGTTAAGCCCACATCCGGCAAAATCAGCCCAGCCAGGGCCCAGCTCGATCCGATCTGGCGTTTAACTGTAGCGGTTAGAAAAAAATGTTCGCCTGACCATGTGGGACCCCCCATCACTCGACGTGGCAGACTGCTCCTCCTCCAAAAATTGCTGAAATGCCACATAAAAGAGAATATATGAAATTTTTATTTTTCATTTTTTGTCGAATTCTTAATAGTTGGATCGTAGCTTGTGTAAATATATTAATTCGGTAGTTCAAAAATATTACCAGGTAATTAATTTATACAACATTTCAGAAGAACTATATGTAATTATCCCTTTTTAAGTTTACATCGTGCATCTGAAATTTATGCGTCGTCAATTATTTTAGCTTTCTTTTATCTTTCTATTTCTCTTATTATTTATTGAATAACACCTATTTAATAATTTTACCCAACTGAAACATATATATTTATATATATAATTGATTTGTAGTATTTCGAGCCAAAACGAGCCGAATATGAACGAACAAATATTTGTTTGTGTTGTTCGTGTTCGGCTCGTTAACCTAACGAACGAGCTGAACACGAGCTGTTCGCGAACAACGAGCCGTTTTGACAGCACTACTTCAGATAGGGCGTTAGGAAGAACATGCTAATTTACGCAAGAACTGGGACCAAATTGGAAGAAAAAAATGTCTAAAATTATTGATTTGACCAGGGTTTAGGGTCAGATTCTCATTAAACAACAAACCCATAAGGATGTCTAAAATTGAAAAATGAGAGATTTTTAATAGAAAGAAATCTAAGATCAAGTCTGGTGGACAAGGTTCCAATAATCTTAAGCAAAGAGGGAACCACAACAGAATAAAGCGGACCTCCAGAATATACTACATGATTTGGCAAGTTCAAAGAAATGGAGAAGCATCCAAGCAAAAGCTGAACAACAATCTTGCTTCATTGTTAAGAATTTTGACACCTGAGATGTAAAATTGTGGTCAAAATATGAATAAATTTGTACTGGACACACAAATGTTTCGCATTCTACAAGCATCCCTAAGTTGATGAAAAGAAAAAAAAGGGGGTATTTACATACATAGCACACAATTCTTATGTATTTACATCTCTTACAGCTGCAAACTCATATTGGCACACATAGCACTCAAATCTTTAAGATCGCATGAATAGATTTAAAGCACCTAAGTGCTATGTATGTAAATAGAAAAATTTGGGTGTGAGATAGGTAAATAAATATGTAAATTTCTCTCCAAATAAAAAAAAAAAGTGATGACTACTTACTGGGCACATCATAGCAACGAGGCCTCTTGCAGGAAAGAAAAATATAGAAAGACATCAACTTGTTTATTTTTTTATTACTAAAACTTTTTTGCTTCCAAAAAAAAATTACAAAGCTTCGGGGCATTTTTGCATCAAGGTCTTCTTGGTGGTGGTGGCTTTTGATATGCCATGCTTGGTGGCCTTATTATCATATTACCATAACCCATTGCAAGTTTCGCATTGGCTGAATGTGTAGCATAAGATCTAGAAGATTGGGCTAAACCAAGCCGAGCTGCAATAATCTGAGAACGCTCACTGTAGAGTTTTTGCCGTGCTCTTTCTGTTTGCTCTTTTGCCCTAATGATCAAATTTTCCATCTCGGGAAAGAATGCCAACTTGATCTCCATTTTCCGCAACTGCAAGAATGTATAAAAAAATCTATATTGCTATCTCTAGTGTGGCATTTTGATATGCCTGGTAAGGTTTTCAGATTCAAAACAAATGGCAAATAAGTTCTTTATACATGAAAAGCAATAGGGGCATTCACATACATGCACACAAATCTTATATGTTTACATATCTCACATCTAAAATTACATATTTACACACATAGCACCTTTTTAGGTGTAGGTTTAAAGCACCAAAGTGCTATGTATGTAACTATGAAAGGTTAGGTGTGAGATATGTAAATGCATAAGAATTGTGTGCGATGTGTGCAAATGTCCCAAAGAAATAAGCTCCTGTTTCCGCCTATAACAGAAATTATAGAATACCTGCTTCTCAATCAGACAGGACACTAATTGGCGGATTTGGTCTTCCTCGTGATCAGCATGGAGCTTGGCCTTCACAGCAGCAGCTGACAGTACAGTGACCGTGGCACGCTTTATGCTGTTAACACTATGAGAACTATCAGTGGTTGCAGTACTTATATCATTCTTTGGTGAAGATGTCTTTTTATCATCCCCATCTGAAGGAAAACAAAAGAAATATGATTCATTGTGGAGTAACAATGGCAAGGATGCTAACTAAAAATTTCCTTAGAAATATGCAACAAATCAAAGTAGAATATAGGGAAGCAAAAGATACCATAATGACATCATCTTTTTTTACAATAATAATGATATTTTGTGAAAAGAGAAATTTGGTCTGGTCCATCAAGGTCTTTGAACCAATTTCAAGTTATCATGACAAAATTAGGATGAAAAGAAAATAATAAAGAACTTCCTGAGCTTGACAAAATTAGGCCATAAGGTGATTTCTTATATTCTTCTTTATTCAGAAACTGCAAAATAGTAGAGAAAATCATCAAAGGAATGTAATTTTTATATTACATTTTCGAGAAAAAACATGTACAAATAAAAAAGGGTATAAAATTATTCACATTAATTTCTACATGATAAAAAGACTCAAACACGAATACATTTACAAGATTTAATGGTATGAAGATTAGATAGAGTATGTGTTCAATAAAATTGTTTATGATCACAATTAGGGTATCATATGAAAAGCTCAGATCGTAGAAATTTTTACTGTTTGATCCTTTGACGGAGATTGCTAAGATGATATTTTTAGAGTATGCCATTGAGTTTGAAGATCAAATTAATAAGAGTCCAAGGTTAAAAATAGACCTTCAATTTGATGCTTGATAAGATTGAGAGAAAAAATCGGATGAAAGATAAATACAACAAGATAAAAAATAAATTTTGAATTTTAAGCTTATTTTAGAAAAAAGTCTATATTTTGAATTTAAAATTCTAGACAAGATTTTCATGTGTCGTATTAGTTAGTTTGGGATATTCTTTATTTTATGAACTTAGTTTATGAAGAGTATGATTCCTCCCACATTGTGGAGTTAATTTAGGAGAAAATACGATCAAATTCAAAAAAAAAATCTATTATGATGTGTTTATTTACCAAAAGTATGATCTCTGCAATAAGAATTCAATCCCTCCACTCTTTCTTATTCATCTCCCTTACTAACCCTAGAACCCCAACTGAGACATAAATAGCCACTGGAAACCTACTGCACCTGAAAAATATTGCCTGATGCCTTCCGTCACTGTCTCTAGCAATTTAGCAACCAACATCAAACCCACCAGTGCCCAGTAGCTGTTGATGCCCCAAACAGATGTTGTATAAAACAGCAATAACAAAGAAAAATTTGCATGCATAGCACACAATTCTAATATATTTACATATCTCAAACCTAAACTTAAATATTTACCTATATACACCTGGTGCGTAAACCTATGCATGAAAAGGTGTATTTGACCTTTAAAAAGTGGTAATAATGCTACTTTTATGTGCTATTAAAGATTAAAGTGCTGTGTGTAAATCTTATAGTTTAGGTATGAGACATGGAAATTCATCAGAATTGAATGCGCTAGCTCTGTATGTCAACAATCTATTTTTCTTATTTCAGCAATACAAATTCAAAACAACAAGGATGTCATGTTGTCTCACAGCAGCAATCATCTATTGTTGGTTGTTCACAGCATACTAGAGTTCTAAAACAGCAGAATAAGAGTTGTTCAACTAAGGCAACTAGGATGAGGTTTTTTATATGCTCAAAGTGAAAATTCTAGCCCATGTTCGGATGGTAAAGAAGCATGAAACAGAGAACAACGAATTGGACATAAATTTTAACTTTGTATGAGTATGATTCCCATGATAAGGTGGTGTTTACCCGACTAAAGTTTAGCCAACAAGTCTTGGCCTGGTGGAATTTCCACCTAAAAGGTAACGGTCAACAAGAAATAACCTGGGGGTGTTTCAATTGATTGATACATCATGAGTTTTATCTAATGAGTTGTCTTAAGGATTGGCAAGAAAACATGTCAAAGTCTGTGCAAGATTACACCAGAGTTCAGAAGAGAACTTGTCATAGTAAGAGTTAAACTTGAAGGATGTAGATCTTGTCATTAGTATACCGCTGGTATTTGCACCTATATAGCTAATAAACAATGACTCTTTCATACAATCTACCTCAACCAGACATATGCACGAGCAATAGCCATATAATAAAATTAATAAGGCAAAAGTGAGAAGACCAAAGAACTATTTGAAAAGGGGCCTTCTTTTCGCAAAAGAAAAAAAGAATTGTTGGGCACTCATTATCCTGTAAACCAATACCTTCGTGAAGTCTTATGACCATTGCCAAATATCAGCTCATACTAACAAAATAAATAAATAAATTGAAAAATAGGAAAGGAGAATAAATACTGATAAATTGAGCAAAACCAGCCATCTATCCCTATGCCAAAGAATACAGGAAATGGGTTATCCACTAATAACAACGCATGAGAGGAGTTGTTCACCCTAAGGGTAAAAATCAAACAAAAAGTGCCCAGAGCCATCATCGGCATCAACAACTAGAAGAACCTCATTTATGCCAATCTAATGTAAAAATTAGGATTTGACACAGTATCACATTCTAATCCATGACTTATGGATCACATTCAGAAGGGGGCAAAGATGAAGACTGATTGCTGGTGTCTCTTGAATTGTGCAATCACCAAAAATTACATCAGCAAGAAGGTATGTAAGTTGATTCCACCCATGAATTTTGTATGTAAGGTGATTCCACCAAATTATAATTTCATGATAGATATCTGATACCATCGTAGAACTTATTAGTATTGTTGATGGACATCTATTGATAAGATAGTAGACGGTCGACCCAGCTTCACCCCAGAAAGTTTTGAGTAGACCGGCGTTTAAAAGCATGCACCTTACTCTCTCTAAGAGAGTCCCGTTCATTCTTTCAGCCAACCTGTTATGTTGAGGGGTGTTCCGAACTATCTTGTGCCTTGTAATGTCATTCTTCCTGCACAACTCATCGAACTGCTCTGAACAATATTCCAAACCATTGTCGGTTCTCAGGCGCTTCAATTTTGTTTCCATCTTGTTTTCAGTGAGGAGTTAACCAATCATTGAACCGTTGAAAAGCTTCATCTTTTGTTTTTAGGATAAAGACCCATACCTTCCTGGTGTAATCGTCTACGATGGACATGAAGTACCTCCCTCCTCCATGAGTTTGAGTTCTAGTTGGACCCCATAGATCACTATGTACGTAATCAAATGGTTTCTTTGATGTGTGAGTTCCGATAGAGAACTTCTAACTTCACCCCTTTCCCTATTCCAGTATACTGACTTGATCTCCACATAACAGGTTCTGTTTAGACAGTTCTTGTAAGCCTCTTTCACTTACATGCCCCAGTCTCATGTCTCATAGTCTACTCCTGTCGGGTTTTGATTGAACTGCATTAGAGAGGTTACCAATCACAGTTCTTCCAACTAAGGAGTAAAACCCATTTTTCTTGACTCCTTTCATGAAAATGAGAGAACCTTTGACTACTCTGATACAGGTACTTTCTGCCCTGAACGAGTATCCGCTTGACTCCAGCGTACCTAAAGAAATCAGATTTCTTTTGCGTTCAGGAACGTACCTGACATGTTGCAGTATTCATTCGACTCCATCGAACATCTTTATTTTGATTGTTCCACTGTTGACCACCTGCAAACCTTGTTGTCTCCAAGTAAAGCGGATCCACCATTTTCTAGTTGCAGTGTCTCAAACCAGTCCTTATGATGACACATGTGGAACATGTGGAAAGAGCACCCCGAGTCGAGGATCCACTCCTTGTTGGATTCTGATTCGGTGATCACCAGGGCTTCAGCTGAATCATAGCTGTCCGAGGCTATGCTTGCTTCTCCAGGATCTTTAGGTTTTTCTTGAAAAACTTTCTTCCTCTCCAAACAGTTATTCCTGAAGTGACCTTCCTTGTGTCAGTGGTAGCACTTGGAAGATCCCTTTGACGGTTGATTCCCGCCCTTCTTTCCTTTTCTTAACCTTGATCTGCTTTGACTGTTTCTTGAACCATTTTTGTGCGATCTTCCTCTAATGGTAAGATTGTCTCCACCGATTTCTTCGTTCATCTCGTGCTTCTTTTGAAGTTCTTTGGCTATGATTAACGATTGAGCATCTTCTAGAAAGATTGTTTGCGTCCTTCCATAGAGCATCACATCTTTGAAGTGCTCATAGCTCTTAGGAATGGAGTTTAGCAGTAGCAATGTCTTGTCCTCATCATCCATCTTGACATCAATATTCTCAAGATCATCAATAATCTTGTTGATTTGCTTTGAGACGGATTTCTCTTCATGCATCTTAAAAGAGTACATGCGTTGCTTCAAGAAAAGTCTGTTTACCAAAGATTTTGTCATATAGAGTAGTTTGAGTTTGGCCCAAAGCGCTTGAGCTGTCGTCTCCCTCGAAACTTCCCTCAAAACTTTATCACCCAGGCTCAAGATTATTTGTGAGCCCTGTTCAGAATCCCGTTCTTTTCTTTCTCGGTCTTGTCGGCCGACAACACCGTCAGGCCTTGCAAGGCTTCTGCAGCGCTTTGCTACACCAACATAGCTTTCATCTTCACTCTCCACAGGCTGAAATCGTTCTTTCCCATGAATTTCTCGATGTCAAATTTGGCGGAGCCCATTGTCGTGGCTAGGATTCCCACAGAGGGCACCAATACCTCTTGATCTCTCTCTCCCTCAAAACTGCCTCGATACAAGATTTCAAGAACCCTCAATTCTTGAAGCCTCTCCCCTTCTTCTTTTTGGAATGATTCTTTTCCTCTTCCTTGTGATTCACACACCTCTATACAAGCCTCCATCATCTATTTATAACAAGATGAGGCCTCCCAAGCAGACCCGGTTCACCCTAGAAGTTTCTAAGAAAATCACAAGTTTGTCATTGTCTTAGTTAACCAATTAAGAGTCATATAACAATTCTCTACCTTGACTCTTAATTACAATGCTCTATAATAGAGATTCCTTTCATCTAGCCCCGATGGGGCCCTTAGCCCCCTTGTTGAGTTCATTAAGTCCAGACAATATCTGAAGTTAGCTGTAGGTAACACCTTGGTAAGCATGTCAGCTCCTTCTACCTGTGTGAATCCCTTTGCAACAAGTCTTACTTTATACCTGACCTCTTCAATGCCTGGCATGCCTTCCTTCTTCTTGAAGGTCCACTTACAACCAACTACACGTTGGTTCTTTGATCGGTCCACAAGTTCTCAAGTCTTGTTCTTCATCAGAGGAGTTATCTCTTCATTCATAGCATCTACCCACTTGTGTCTTTCCTTACTCTTTAGAGCTTCCTTGTAGCTATTCAGTTTTACTTCTTCTATCTCTCTTCTGCGACGCTTAATGCATAGGAGATCAAATCTGCATGACCACATCTCTCTGGCGGTCTGATGGTTCTTCTCTGCCTATCTCTCACCAAACTGTAGTCATTCGACCTGTTTTCTGGTTCAGTTTCTTGCTGATCTTCTACCACTTCACCTTGGTTGTTCACATCAGTCCTTTGATCCGTCAAGATTTGTTGTTGTTGCAGCTCCACCTCAAATGGAGTATCCTCCTTAGTAGCACTGTTCTTGGTAATGTAGCTTTGCAGGTTAGCCATTTTAGACTTATCGAATACCACATCTCTACTGATGATGGATTTCTGTTGATCTAGACACCACAGTTTATAACATTTGGTTTCAAATGGGTATCCGATGAAAATGCACTTCAAAGCTCTTGCCTCCAGTTTATCCTGTTTAACATGAGCATATGCAATACATCCAAAAACTTCATAGTTACCTGGTTTCCCGTACCACATCCCCAAAGGAGTCTTCATTCCAATAGCTGGAGGACCTTTTATCCAAATGCCAAAATCCTATATAATAATAGCAAGGCAAGTAAGTAGAGTTATCAAAGTAGGTTGGAATTTCTTGTTCATGTAGATTTGTCGTGTTGAAAAACAGAATCATTGCCTCCCTCGAGCAAAAAAGGTAACATGTTGATGCAAAGTTGACAGAGGAGCATGCATTACTCTTTAAAAAGGCATAAATATTACCACAAAAAATGTCCATTGAGTAAGAACATATGTTTCATCTGCAAACCATCACTGTCAAACCTATCACTGTACCAAAACTTGTACATCAAGATTGACTACCAAAGTGAAGGCTATAGAGGAGTGATAAAGTCTGTGCACAAATAAGTAACAGTTTAGCTTTAGCTACCCAAAAATATCCAAAAAGAAGAAAAGCATTTCTACCAAATGAGCAATGGGGTAAAAGCTATCACAAGTGGAGAATCCCCCATTATTGAAGGAGTTTAAGGAATTACTATTTTACTAAGTCGAGCAATAAGAAAATAAGAAGTTGGTATCTCATAAATTTTTGTAAGCTCAAAAGTGTTAACATTATTAAAGAACCAAAACATACCAAATAGGACTCCCAAGTAATAAATTTTGACTTTTGCAAGAGCAAATAGGAATACAAGAGGAATTCATAATTTAAGAAGCTAATAAACATACATTGCTACCTAAATTCCATGAAGCATAAAGCTCTCGAAATTTAAGTTTTCAGGAAACAAAAAAAGGAAGAGAAAAAGAAGTTGATAAAACTACTTAAAACTTCCTGATAGATCAACTGCCAATTAGAACAAAGTGATATAATTAAGAGAGAGAAAATAATTAGTTTTCTCTCAACTAAACTTATGATTTATCAGTAATTAAATCTATCTAAAAGGGGCCCTCTGATCTGAAGATCATTTCTAATAGATCAACTATGATGATCATTGGGGTTTCTGATTGTCGAAAGACCAAAAAGATCATGATTATTGAGATTTTCATAGTTCAATCTCTTGATGGAGATTGTCGGTAGTGATGATTTTCATATTAAAATTAAAGATCGAAAGATGGATTAACGACTGGATGCTTGATGATGAGAATGAGGTAGAACATGTAGGCCAATGGATATCAACAAGTACAACAAGGAAGAAATTTGAATTTTAAACTACATTGGTATCAATTTGTACATCCGAATATTATATTATATATAAGATTTACTATTTTTGCCTAGTTTAAAACTATATAGTTTTTCCTTCTTTTGTGGAGATCCATGGGATGGATAATTGTTTCTTATTTTATAGTTTAGAAAGGTGGAAAAATTCAAATACTTGCAAACTGCAAGTTGCATGTTTAAAGGTCTGAACCATGCAATAAGAATTCATTTCAATTCTCCCAGCCACTCTTCCTCACCCTTAAGCGCTGGACCCATCAAAAAACTGAAACAGCCAATAGATTTCATCTGCTGCGGCCTGGCTCACCAAATGCTACTCCGTCACCAACGCCTATATTCTAGCAACTATTGTCCATGCCTCCGGGGTCTTGTAACTGCTGTTGCCACATCTTCTGGCCCCAACAGCTGCTTCCATGACCTGCAACACAGAAGGAAACAATTTGGTCTGCTGTATTCCAGCAATCCAAAGCAGCAAAGATACCTTGCTATGCCCTCTCAGAAATCACCCCTTGTTAACTGCTTACAGCATACCGGAGTTCAAAAACAGCAGGACAGTTGCTGTCAAATAGATGAAAACAAAAAAAACAGAGATAGAACTTCCTTACCACTTAAAAAAAGAAAAATCTTAAAGAGGGAGTCATCAACAGCAAGAAACAATGCAAAAGTTACCCTTAAATGATTGATAGAACATTAGAGAACTTCCAGAAAAATTGTAGATATTGGAATAAGTTCGGATCATCCAACCAACACAATAAATGATAAGAGAAAATTTGTGGATTTTAGAGTATTTCATAATTCTAGCAGTAGATTATGGCCATCATTGTTACCATTAAGGCAGTAGATGCATATAGCAAAAGAGAATAGCAAAAGCAGCTTCACATTCCTTTAATAAAATTGTGTAAGACAGGATAGGATGCAATAAGAATTTATTTGTTAGCCATCAAGGACATTTCTAGATGCTTGATCAAAATTATGGAAAGCCATCACAATAGGTGGGTAACAAGTACTAGAGTTCTTTGAGAAAAATGAAGTTTGACCTGCAACAAAACTTCATAAAGCAAAAAAAAAAAACATGTTTTTTCTTACCATTCAAGAACATGCATTTCGTTTTGTGAGGGATGTTGTCGCTAAGGGTTCAATAGTAGTGGAGAAGATACCTACTGAAGAAAATCCAGCTAACATGCTCACCAAGGTGCTACCTACAACTCAATTCAGATACTGTCTGGACTTAGTAAACTCAACCAAGGGCTAAAGACCCCTTGTGGCTAGATGGAGGGAATCTCTATTATAGAGGTTTGTAATTGAGAGTCAACGTGGAGAATTGTTATAATGACTCACAATCTACAAAATAAGGCAATGACATACTTGTAATTTGATCACCTGTTCTAGAAGAAAGAATGGAGGCTTCTGATTGGCGGATAAGGCTACACCTGGATAGCTCATTATTCATAAATAATGAGGAATACTTGTAGAGAGAGGTCTAAGGAGAAATAAAATCAGTCGGTTAGAGAAAGAAAATGATAGCTTGTAGAGAATTGAGGTGAGGATCTTGGAAATCTTGGATCGAGGTGATTCGATAGAGAGATCATGGCAAGATGAGAACTCTTTTTCAATGTAAAAGCTATGTAAATCTTCTTTATTGCCTTATTGGATTTTATGGTTGATTTTTCTCCCGTGGATGTAGGTCTTATGGAACGAACCACGTAATTCTTGGTGTTCTTATGTTCATTTAATTTTCTGCAGTTTTTCTTTCATTTTTTGGTTTTCTGCTTGCTGCATTTTTTCCTCCCATTCGGTTGTCCAGGTAGCCAAAACACTACAGGTGCTCTTTGGCAATCCTAATCTTTGGCCTATAGCAAGTTCTTCGGCAGTCCAGATATTCAGCAGGGAGTTCTTAAGCCTGCAGGTGGTACTCGGTCTTCAACCTGCAGGTGATCCATTCGGCATTCAGCCTCCGCCAAACTGTAGGTGGTGCTTCAGCTGTTCAAGTCTACGAACTGCAGCAAAGTGATCTTCAGCCTGCAGGAATTCTTAGGCCATCAGCTTTCTGGCGGTCCTGTTTCTCCAACAATGCGGCCAATAGCATGAAATGATTGCTGAAAGAAGAATTAGGAACTTTAACAGGAAGTAGAAACTAAACAAGGCCACTGAAGTTAACGACTTCAAAATGCACACAATGCAAAATCAGCAACGGTAAATAAAACTGAAAGAGTGATTAAAACAACAAGAAAATGCCAAAAAGGATGGCATCAAGCGTGTAAAAAGAGGGAACAGATATGGCATAACTTGAAGTTGCAAAAGACAACATAACAGATCGTATTTCAAGACATTGCACTTACAGCCGATTCAATGGGGGATGAAATGTAAAACTTCAAAGAAATATTACGATATCAGAAATCATGTAGTACAATTAAAGAAAATGCATTGAAAAAATAAATCAAAGCACATTTAAGAGTTCAACTACCCTAATTTTTTTTGCATAAATCAGAGGTGCTTTCTAAACTTAAATTACTGGTATAACCTACTAAACTTTTCCCAAATATATATATCAAAAACTTCATTTTTCTACCCTGTAGCATCGTTTATTAAAATAGAAGTAATGTAGCATTCCATAAAAAAAAATTTAAAACTTGATAGCAGAATTTTCACCAAGTTCCACTGGGGAAAGTTTCATGCCTGCCATAACATTAACATCTAATGTAGAAGCTGCACCATCCTTTTGTTCTGGCTCCTCTTTCAGGACAATGGATGTTGGTGTCGTATCTTCAACCTTCGGAAATTCCGAAATTTGTTGAACCTGATCAATCAATTCTGAATTACCTGATTGCTCCGCAAATTCTGGTTTGCCCTCTGAACCCTTCAGATTATCCACGGACATAAGCATAGATGGCGTGTCTCCAACCTGTCCAGGCTCCTTTAAATTACTGGTTTTATTTACCATTGCCTCATCAAAATTACTTTCATCATTTCCGTTGAACCGTAACGACTGTTCCTCAAGCAAAGGTTTATCATCTGCTTCAATACTATGAGAAGTGACATCCAATGGGGCAATGGAATCATTTAATTCTTTTTCAGCGGATGATTTAGGTTGAATATCATTAGAAGAAGCAGACTGTTTCACTTCACACTGTCCAGAAGCTGCGTCTGGCTGAATATTCATTGCTCCATTCTTCAATTCAGCAGAACCATTCGAACTTGGCAACTGCTCTTCCTCCTTTGAAGCCTCTGTATCGTCAATGGCATTAACAGAGCTGCATTAATGAATATCATCAGGTTTGGCATTTCAGCTGCACTAATACAAATTTTAAGTGACAAGATGGAGACCTCTCGGGGACAAGAGGACTGCTGGCTTCATTAGGTGGCTCCTCAAGAATGAAGCAATGCCTTGAAACCAGCTGAGTTCCAGGAGATTCCTCTGATATGGATTTTAAAGAACTATGAGATGAAGTTGACACAACATCCTGGTCAACCAGTCCTGCTAAGAATGCTGCCTGCAATAAGAACATTAGTTAGTTGGTCACTTTCTGCACCTAAAACAGGACTACAAAATTAATGCTTACCAACACCATGACAGGATTTCCAGCTTCCACAAATGATAACAATCTTCCTTCGTCATCAGTAAAGCTTACAGCCTGAAATGCCCTCCTTAAAGAGTTAATAGCAAAGTTGGAGTATGTTTCACTAGATAGATCAACTTCAGCATTTTTCCTGTCTGAGACATCTGCTGGGGATGAAACGGGTTGCTCAGAGCTCATGCCGTTCTCAAGCTCCATTGCTTCAGGAGACTCCATATTCGCCGAGCTCGGCTCCACTCTTTCCACCATATTGTCATCATCATTTTCCTTGATTTCTAGGAAAGGATCTTCTATAGGCATTTGAAGAAAATGCAAGATGCATTGAGCTTTAGTTTTCGTAGCAACATGCTCAGCTATTTCATTCCAGTTCTCACCAAAAAGCTCCAAGGCTTCTAGAAGTAACAAAGTTTCCTGATCTGTCCAATTCCGACTACTTACACCAGGGCCATCAGCCGACTCCATAAGAATGAAATCAGCTGGAGTCATGCCTGAGCCAAACATCCCATTATTATAACACTCCGCACAGAGATCAAAATCTGCCTGCAAAACAAATAAATAGTATGGACATCGGGGTGATGTTAGTCATGTACCAACTTTGCGCCATATTCGCACTGTAAAGAAAAGACATATTCATGAATTATGTGAAGTAAACTATCTCTAACATTCTATATCCGCTATACTTCTTGAAGATCAGATTTATTCATTTCATTTGTTCTATTTAATCAAGAAATTTCGCCAGAAATTTGGGGGCAAGTAGAAGGTGGAATAAAGTTTATGTTAAGAAAATGGGTTAGCACACTTCATTTGGTAATAAAACATGAAAAGGTGAATAATTCTGATTCGTTATCACTTTAAGTGGCATTTGCTTTTGACCTCATCAAATTACAAAAGCTTTGGTATCTCCTGTAGATTTATAACTATGAAATAATCGCATCAGACGGATATGAAAAGTATGATTATAGGGCCAAAGTTTCATACAGTTAGGAATGTTAACAATGTCGTATTTTATCATGATAGATTATTAAGTAATGATATTTGAAGCAATAAGTGATGGGCTACCATACACTTTAACACTAATGCCTCACGTGCACAAGCAGAACTACTTGGGGAAAAAATACAAATTCCGCACATGTGCCTGCACAAAAAAAAAGGGAAGAAGAAACAGAGACTGAAGAGTAAGAGCAAATGTAGACATCATTTTTTAAACCCATGAGAACAACATTGATCCTTTCAATGGTCACTTTCACACCAGCCCAAACTGGGATGCTCCGATACAAGTCATATCAAGGTATATAAGGTTTTCCTTAAGCAATTTAATGTATAACACTATTAAAAGAGAACTATTAGTCAGATAATAGAAATATAGAAGTAAAATGTAAATGCAAATAATGACATAGAACTGCAATGAATTTTTAATGACAATGCAAAAAAAAAAATGTAAGCAAAACAGAAACATAAGTATGCAAATTTCACAAGCAAGCTATTTAATATATTCATCATTACCGAGCAACCATAGTAAATTAAGAAAAATTAAGATCAAATAACTTGATGATAATTTGCAAACAAAAAAAATGGATTCACTTGAGTGTTTTTATCATAACAGAGCATTGCAAAAATTAATGTCATACACAAACAGAATCAACAGAAGCGCCAAATTTAAATAAATCCAATCACATTTTGCAACCCATAACTTAATAAAGAATAGGACAAAATTAGATGAGTAAAAAAATTAAGAGAAATGAATAACGGCACTGCAACCAATAGGGTTGATATTTTAGCTGGAAAGTTACTCAAAAAATGAATCAACTTTTTTGAATTGAGCTTGAATTGTGTTAAACTAGCCAAGACGCAAGTCAAAATTTTGGCCCTATTCAATCTTTGGCCGGTCTGAAACTGACCAAGGCAGCTCGAGATAAGCTCAAAATATAAATATTATGTAAACTCACTGTTATATTATATATATATATATGTATATATATATATATATATATATACATATCATATATAACAAACATGTCGTCGTTCCGCTCGAACCCTAGCGTCTCGCGTTGCTTTCGGCTTCGGGATTTACTTGCGTCGCCTCGCGTTGCGTTCGCGTCTCGTCTGTGACAGAGCCACTCGACACTAAGCCTGCGTCTCGTCTGCGATAGAGCAGCTTGACACCTGCGTCCTGCTTCTGCCTGCTTCTCGTCTGCGACAGAGCCGCTCAACACCCGTCGTCTGCGACAGAGCCACTCGACACCCCTATTCGTGCAGCTTCTCACTGTGCTGCAGGTTGGCACTGGCTGCGGTAATGGCCTCAAAAATTTCCTATGCCGCCGCCCTCGCCGGTAATAACCCCGCCAAACCCTCCTATGCTACAGTAGTTCACAAACGCAACTCTCATTTTCACCTCGCAGATAGTGTGGTATTACCGCAGATTTATCATGATTATGTTGCAAGAAATGGCGATTGCAATCTTATAAAAAAAAGTAGAGAAAAAGGTGGGTAAACCAACAATTTTCTTCTCTGACACTGAAATTTCAACTCGTGCAGAAAAATACAAATTTACATTAGTTGGAAAGTTCCAATAGGTTGCCTTAAGATGAGGATCATCAGGAAGGTTTTGAAGATTTCAAATTGGTTGGGGGTTGGCAGGTGGGTCGTTTCGACGAAATGCATGTTATGATACAGCTAAGCACAGAAGATGATTACACGAGGATTTTCTCAAAAAAATTCATCACAATTGAGGGCAAACATATGAAATTGCTCAAATGGACCCCTAATTTTGATCCCAATCAAGAACCCCCAATTGCACCTATCTGGTTCTCATTACCTGAACTCAAGCTTCATTTCTTTGACCTGTCTATCTTATATGCAATTGAGACTATCCTTGGAAAACATATGCAGGTAGACTTACCTACAGTTCATTTCTCAAGGCTCTCCATTGCAAGGATTTTGATTGAACGAGATATCGAGATATTACACTTAGAAGTCTGGCTTGGATCTGCTCACAATGGTTATTGACAAAAAATCAGTATGGAACAAAAACCATACTACTGCAAACACTGCAAGATGTTTGGACACCCGCATGAGAAATGTTTCAGATTGCACCCATAGTTGAGAACTAATAGTCAAAGGCAAGAACACACTATTAGTGCACCTCATGTGTCTGAACGCGCTCCCAACAAACCTGAGGAGGGAATCACCACAAGACAGGAGTTGGTGTCTGCCCCTGGAAACCCTTCTCCTGATCATACTACAGCGGATAATGTCAGAACTGAAAATCAAGATAGTCCCGCAGCTCCTATTCAGGAAGCATTAGGTGTAGAGATAACAATTCACACTTCACATACACTGAAACCTATCGTGGTGACAACGACTGTCTTTCTTCCTACTGCGGTTCTAACATCAAATCAGATCGAGGATCACATAAGCCAGTATTCAGATGAAGAACGACAGGTTTACATTTCTCGGCGGAAGAAGGCTGTGGCACACTCCAACTTGGAAATTTAATGGATGATACTGTGATGACTCCTGACAATGGCACGACTCTTCAAAGTTTGTTATCTGGTTCCGCTCATAAAACTAGAGGAAGAGGCCGGACTAAACTGGCTTGTCCCTTGCTACTTGTTTTTTCGAAAGCAAGAGTTTATTGGAGATAAAATAGAGCAAGAGAGCTTTAATGGTTGGCTCTTACATGTGTTAATTACGCTATTAGAAAAATTAACATAAGGAGTTCTCATGGTTAAAAGATACCATGGTTCGATCAAAGTTGAAGATGTTTTACTCTTATCGGTCGCCAAATCGGGAGAAAGATATTTGATATATATATATATAATATTTAAATTTTAAAAAGAGTAATTGGTTTTGAGTTGGTTCCAAATCAATTTGATAGCAGCTGTGTTGGTAAGACATCAAACCAATTCAATCCATGAGCTGATTTCCAGCAACCTATCTATGTTCATGACAATTCAATCTGGCTCTGAATCAACACGGAATAAGATCATTCTCACTTGAAGCATCCAAGAAGAATTTCAAGCCTTGAATTTCATCACAAAACTGAAATCACATACAAAAAACTTTAATAATTAATCAGCAATTTTTTTAATGACTTAGTCGCCCCTTCTTTATAATAAGATGAAAAGCAATATACAATCACAAAGAAGTAACATATTTCTAGGAATAAAGGTGAATATCCAAAATTTTAACCAATTGGATTGTAACATATTATTCACAAGATCTATCTGAAGTTCAACAGAAAACAATAGATGAAAAGTACCATTTTCTACTTTCAATAATGTAATTTCAATTGAAGATAAAAATGGAAGACCAAGACTAACAATGAAAGAAATTGTGAGCAACATTTTGTAGAATGTAACCTGAAAGCTAAACCAACTATAACCCATTTAAATTTGAATTATCTAAAATACAACTCAAAATAAGAGAGACAGATGCAATAAAACAACTTTATGCTTTTAGACTTTAAGCTTAGCATGAATCTCCCAACTCTAAAGAATTTTTACTCATCCAAATAGCTTCTTGATAACATCTAGAAAATATGGGCAAAAGTTTTGTAGCTCTTCCAAAAAAAAAAAAAAAACCAATAAGACATCATGATGTAAAGGATCAAATTACCAAGGGCCAGGAGAAGAAGAACACGAGATCAAAAGAGAACAAAGGAACAAAGCTGTTGTTAAAGTTTCCGAAAAATGATAATAATCTCCTTTCACGTATTTGTCGGTCAACTTTTCGATAGATTTGATTTGAAAATATGGATATATGAAAATAATTTTTTGAAATTTAATTTAAGCATAAAAGATATATATAGTTTGAGTTTTAAAAATAGTATGTTTTAATTTTTAAAAAATGAGACCAAATGGATCTCATTAGTCCAATAGTTTGCATAATCGTGTCCGATACCGCGAATACTACACCCTCCCGAAAGATAAGTGTAGACCTTGGCGATAGACTCAATCCTGCAAACTAAGAGATTTGTGACATCCGTTTGGTCTGCGAACATTTTTATATATGACCAACAAGTTTATCCCCCTATCTAATACAAAGATTAAATAGGGTTTATTTTATCTGGGTTCCAAGTTCCCTATAGAGGCAAACCCCTATAGTTAATTACATCTCAAATGACTAAGGTCACTTAAGACTCTCGATAATGATCAGTGGTTCTAATCTACAAGTTTCCAAGGTTTAGGTTTTCACGGTAGGACGTGGAAAAACAAGTGAGAGTGGCTCAAGTAGGAACAATTCTTTTAGGAGTCCAAAGAAAAGAAAAGGTAGGGGATGTCACAGATCTTGAGGAGAACTCTCAGTGACTTCCCAAACTATCCTACTGTGTGGCTGCATTTTTAGAGATGATGACATTCAATTATTCAATCCTGTCAATTTTATTATTTGGGACTTACATTTGCATAATACCCGATTATGCAAATAACCCGCGGAGATAAGAGGATTTACGTCGTGTCACACGACAACCTCGGAACCTAAGGCGAGTTAGGACTTACGCTGCACAACATGGTTGTACAGGAAGCCTAAAAAAGAAGGCA